GAATAAACATTTTTACTTTTACTTAAATTTTTAGCTAATTCCTTTAAGCCGAGCTAGGAATTACCACCAAAATTACCAGCGGTGACTGACGATACTTTAATGAAAGCGGACGTAGGAGATTCAAGACCATGAATCCCACATCACTGCTAACGTTGCTCTTGTGACCAAGGCACTTTCGACTGAAAGCGCAGTCTGAGATCAGCTACCCAAAAACGATATTCTTTTAGCTATACAGTGTTCCTTCCTTAGTCTCATGAAGACTGGCTCTCACGACGGATACCACCGATAACGAGTGATCACTTGGGCCAAATAAATTAGGAAAACTGCTAATTCTACCCCTGACCAGTAACGTAAATTAAAAACAAAAGTACCCCTTGGTTTGATCGTTTTCCATTGGATAAAATTCACGGACAACGTGGCCGATCTTTGAGAGTATCTTCGACATGACGCTCTTCAACTTTGGCAGGCGGTCGCTACCGACAATTGGAATTCCATCGACAACCACAATCAAGTCATTGCTGTCGTCTTCCCTCGGTTTTAGCTTCAGTATATCACCGAGAAGTTCTGAGAAAATAAAGATTAAGTAAAATGACAGTTACCACATAAATACGCAAAACAATAAAAGTTTTCAAACATCTACTACAACTTATACTAGTTATTATCAAAAAAATTTTAAGTACATTAAGAAGTACCTTCATCGGAAATATCGTCAACATATCCGTCCGGATCGCTGAAGCTCGGTGGTTCGGCATCTACCGAATTTTGAGTGATGTTTCCTCGGGAAGCATAAAAGTTCTCCGCAAATTTCTCTCCGGCAACCATTGCGTTGTTTTTAGTAAATGTTCTTGGGAAGAAACTATGTGAAATTGAACGCAGAAACGGTTGTTACAACAGCTGGGCATAAAGCAAACAGAGCGGCCTGAAAATGCAAAATTTTAAAACAGCAAAAAGGCTGAAAGTAACTTTCAGCACTTATTTCTGAGTAATTTAAACTGCCTTAAAGCAAAGTACAGCGCCGAAAACCTATCATTTTCAAAAATAGCAAATCGTAATAAAGGCTACACCACGCAGCTACAAATTTTGCGAATTACTGTTAAAAGTAGCTTGCCTGCAAATCATATTATTTTACAACGGATTTCATTATTCTCTAAACCAGTAGGTCAGTAAATCTGTTTCGATGACCAACTATATTTTCGGGCCATGGATACAGAAACATTAAATAGTGTCTAAAATTTTCCTAACCCTATGCCTGCGTTTGAGCCTTGGCAGAAGATCATCCGAGTCTGGAGCAAAATCCTTCGATACACTTGCCGCAGGATATTCTTGGCCGAATGCATGGTCTTTAGTCGATCGGCTGAAGAATTAATAGCTGTTTCTACTCGCTTTCTGAAAGCATTCCAATGATGTACCAAAACCATAGCAGCTGCGACTTTTCGCTCTTAAGTAGAAGCAACCGTTAAGAAATATTGCATAGATCGCCTCTCTCGGGAACATTTGGGGACGCGTGAGCTGAGCGGTTCCTTTCAAATTCAGTCCGGTCATAGTCAGTCATCAGTTATACCTGGGATGACATTTTTCTGTGATGGCTCGCTGCTCGTAATCGTAAGTGAGTACTGGAATGAAAATAAAGTTTAACAATTAAAGCCAAGCCTTCAGACAGGGATCTGCTTTTGTCACAAAGGTTCGTGCAAAATCAAACAAAAGGAGCGTTCCAATATAATTAAAAAGTTTAAAAAAGTACAGTCGGCAGATCAGATGTATAGTTCTATCAACCAAATCAAGTCGCAAAATACGCTACGCTGTCTAAGTAAATAAATCATGGAATAAAAAGAATCATACGTTTAACACCCATAATTTGAAAGATTCGATTGGAGAAGTTCAATACTTCCTATCGATGCCGATTAGATCGATCGACTGGTGTCGAAGATTGCAGAAGGCAAAACTTTATTTCGCACTTCATTGGTTAAGCGCGAAATTTGTTTTATATTCAGCAACCGTTTCATGGGAAATTTACACCGAAAGAAGCCCATCCGCGTTTACCATAGTCGCAACAAAAGGGTATTTTGATAACTTCTTCACTAAGTTTTAACGATTCCTACATATGTTAGGTCCTAAATGCATCTACGACGTTTCAAAATCCTCGCATTTAATTTTTCAGAAAATTTGGTTAATTCACGAGTCGATAAAAACGATAGCAGAAATTCTCATTACCATAAATTCTGAGAAAAAGAGTGTTATACTTACTAAAAAAATTCCTTGAAGTTATAATCGCAAACGTCTGATTATCTCTTTACCCCTGAATGTCGATTCCATAGCGCAAGTTGTCTAACGCATTTCCTAACAGTAATGATGATAGAGCTAGAAACCCATATCATTTTGTAGTAAATCTAGCCTCATACATAGTGTCAAAGAATAATTAATATGAATGAATTCTGATTTTTTTCATCTCGTACATCGTACATGCTTAGTACTTTGAGCCGATAGGTAGCGATGGACTGCGGCCGCTTTATTGCAAGTTGCCCTGGATTATTGTTGCATGTATTAATGTAGTCTCGTTCCGTTTGGCTACTAGTTTTCTGAATTTTGACAAAATTTAAAAAATATGCTTGTTCCTTGTTCCCATTTACGTCAGCCACGTGGCGGGTCCAGGCAAATTGCAGCGGGGTCAAAGCGTACGCATCATACTGATCGTACAGGGTGGTCTCGTACGATTTGCATGAACATGCCATAACACCATGCTAACTCTGTTGTTTTTGCCTTTCACCATTATCTAAGGAGTGGCAGCACAACAGCTCTGTTCTTCTCAGATTACTGATATCGATAATGGGAGAATAAAGTCTTCAGATTAATTTAAACGTTTTCAGACTCTGCTGATCCCTGCGATTCCCAGGCCAACGACCTGTTTTCTGTTTTTATGACGGTTGCACCGACGCACCGTTGAGTTAGTTCCTTCCTCAAAGTAAATAGCAGTCAGTAGGGGAAAATTTATGCCGCGCAATGGGTTTGATGCCGCATTCTAACGTATAAAGTAGTAACCCATTGCTCCACTGCCACCCAAACCACCTCTTTTTGCCTATGATACAATATTGACTGACTTTTTCGGAGTGCACACTTTTTGCATCCAATCATCTATATAGCCGTTTTGTAGATCCAACAGATTAAGAAAATCTATTCTTAAACATTACTGTGAACATTCAAGTTACTATCATCTGAATCTCTATTCATAGTTCGTTAATCGCAGAAGCTAGGGTCCATTAATGCAGATGACACTTTCTTTATTTGCAATCTTATCTGAAAATCGTTATCGTATTTTCTTCGCAATTTTTTTGGTATAAATGTTGAAAAGATTTACATTCCATTGTATGGGGTTGCGATGGTATTTCGCTTGGTCGTTTTCACATTTTTTTACCTACCGGCAGTAGAGTTTCTTGTAGCATTACCCTTTTTATTTTGTGCTTTGTCTGTGGTGGCTAGCTGTGCGATATTTATGAAAATTACACATAAACCTTTTCATGGAAGGTTTAACGAGGTTAGGCTAACTGAAGAAATCTGCAGCGATCTTGTTTTTTAAATTTGGCTTACTGTGATGAGTTATGTTTTGTTATCGAATCGGCCGAAGGGCTCAGAAACTTATATTCGGTTCGATTCGAAGCACCATATTTCTGTGTTTTGCTTATTGCATCTCTTTCCATGGAAGTGGTTATTTTTTAAATATATTTTAATGAATTATGGATTAA